AATATATTTCCCTTCTATGAACCAACAACACTCATCTTATAACTTATATAATCATATTTCTGGTTATTTTTCTCATCTGGCTGGACGTTATAAATATGTAACAGTCTAAATACTTGTTATTCAGTATAAGAAACACTGTTATGAGTTCTGTAAATTGCACGAGATTAAAGTAAATGAGATCAATCAGATAAATTGATCAGATATTAGAAAAGCTTCTGTTGCAGCAGAAGCTTTGTGCTGTTTATTAAACTGTGAGGCTGCAGCAGAAAATACACTTCCTGTCCCCACACACTGACAGACAGACAGACAGACAGACAGACAGAAACACACACACACACACACACACACACACACACACACACACACACACACACACACACTTCTCAGCTAGCTTACTTAACGACAACAAACACCAGCAGCATCCTAAGCTAACCGTAGCTAGCTACCTAGCTAAGCTAGCTAAACGTCCACAAGTGGCAGCGGACGTGAGGCGGCGCGCGAGACACAGACAACAGTCAACCGTCACAAACCAGCATCTTACGTCGAAAAGCAGGTAGCTGTCTGGCGGCTGTAGCTTCTTCGTAGCATCTCTGGTTCTCAGTGTGTTGAGACGCAGTCTTCCGCCTTTCTTTTACCCGAATACACCGAGGAGCCCATCTGCTTCTCAGCTAACCGGGACACGGTGCTCCTCCAACGGCCTCGAGCTGAATCTGTCAGCCTGTTAGCTCCGGTTGTCGGCTAGCGACGCTTTACGACTCGCATTCTTCGCTCCGTTGCTATCGTTAATAAAAAAGGACAGTTTAATGAAAACGGCACCGATAGTTCACCGAACCTAACGATGGCCATTTTTTTTCATACCGCCGCTAGAAGCGACCAACGGCCGGGGAATACATCCGGTTTCATTTATTTCAAAATAAAAGCTTAAACTAAAGTTTAACCAAAGTAGCAGTGTAGAAATACAGAAGTAAAAGTAGTAATACCACAGCGTAAAAATACTCGGTTACAGGTAATATTCTTGTATTTAAAACCTAAAAATACTTGGATTATAATTATTTAAATGTCTTTGTATATAAATATATTTATTTTTAATTTATTTATTAGTTGATTTATATATTTAAATAAATGTAATCTCTCTCTCAGATAAATGCAGCAGAGAAAACATTATGATATTTCCCTTTGAGATGTTGGAGAACAGAAGTATGAAGTAGCATGAAATGGAAATACTCCAAGTACAGGTTTGAGGAACTTGAGTAAATGTACTTAAAAAAGACAATAATAATATAAATAAAGAACCACATCATGTATCTACAAATTTGCTAAATTAGCTCAAATTGCCATAAACTTCAATAACATTTCACAAAAACACCTAAAAAACATAAATCCCTGATAAGAATTATTGACTACGCTGTTACTTTATCTTTTAAAATAATTTCATATGAAATAGCTCGGCATTAAATTCCTTAAAATAATGTTATTTATAATATATAAATGGTTTATTACCCTTTAGATAACAACATTCCATATTGATTAATATAATGTATATGTTTATACTGTATTATATTTATTTGTGTATTATGTATTAGATATTATTTAATTTGTTTTACATTTAATACCCTATCGTTTATTTTGAACGTTCCCCTGGTAAACGGAAATGAACGTCACTATACTGACTCAGGTTTGACTGTTTTATTTCTGTACGTCATTGCGTCACAGCCCAACGTCAGGAGTGTGTTCCAACTGTGTACTATCGCTCTGAATCACAGCGTACCGACGTAGTTATGCAAGAAGTTACAGTCACATTCTGTTCTTTGGGCTTTAATTTGTTATTTACAGCAGAGGAAGAAGTACTCAGATCAAGTACTTAAGTAAAAGTACTTGTACAACAATGTAAAAATACTCTGTTACAAGTAAAATATCTGGATCAAAAAGAGTAAAAGTAACTTATTTTCAATAAACTAAATACTTAAAGTATCAAAGTGACATTATATGCATGTATTAATACTGATGTATTAACATATAAGTAGAACTGCAGGTGGTACAAAAACAGCAAATTTGACCTATTTTACATACTACATACTATATATTTTATATACTATATACTTATATATTTAGGTTTGTGCTGAAGCTGACAAAGTATTCCTCTAATAAAGTGAAGTATGAATTTAAATTAAATCAAATGAAACTACTCAAGTAAAGTAGGAAGTACCTCAAAGCTATACTTATCACTGTACCTCACCACTAGTTATTTGTAAAAACTAAAACTATTTAGAATTTAACTAATATTATTATGAAGCACAATTATTAGAATAAAAAACAGGAGCCTGTCAAAGTTAGAAAAATAAAAATATATTTTTTTAATTCAAACTCATGTTTACTGAGGTAATAAATCAAGAGAGAAGTAGAGTCATTTTCTCATAGACTTCTATACAACCAGAGGAGTCGCCCCCTGGTGGACACTAGAGAGAATGCAAAAGTTTTAAATGTTAACGTGAAGCTTGATTTTCTTTATGAATGTTTTCAGCTTCAAAAGGTTTGAGGACCTTTGGGTCGACCTCACTCTCTCTCACCTTGTCTATTTTATTATGCAGCCATGAACCTTCCCTGTGTATCCAGGGCCGAGAGGTGGGGGCAGCAGAGATCCAGAGGACGAGGCTTTGAAAGGTATATTCACAATTCTTTCTGAGTTTCATGCAGAAATCTACAAAATATCAAAAGTTTTGCATACTAAATACACAGCATAGCTTTTTTCTTATGGCGTTCCTCGAGGTCTTGGTGTCTTAATGTGGAATTTTTGAGTGATTTTTGATCATTTTAATCAAGTAAAAAACGGTTAAATTTAGCACCAAATCTGTAAAACAAATGGTATCAACCCTTGAGTTATAAGTGAGAATGGGTTATATACTTCCATCATCATGTTCTAAGACCGTTTAAAAGGCACAAAACACAATGATCATTGCAGATGTATGACTAGAAAAGCAGTCTGTCAAAAAGCGTGTCTATGTGGGTCTCTAAGGGTTAAAAGAGATATCAAACCATTAATTAAAGTGTGTTTGGAAGTGAAATCCTCACATGTGGACTAAAACACATTTCCTTTGATAAGATATCAGAGAGGCGGGTCGAGGCCTCGGCTCAGCGTTGTGCGTCCTCTTGGCTCGATGCCCGGGCTTCCTGCCGCGCCTCGGGGGGTCTGAGGCGGCGGCCTGTTGAAGCTCGTTCAGCAGCGGCAGAAAGAAGCAGACGTTTTACTTTCACTCCCTTTAGTTCTTCTTTTACTTTACATCTGCTGTGTTTATGAAGCTGCAGCGGCGTAGATCTGCACTCACTCTGCCCTCGAGGCGTCTCACATACAGATCTGTTTTGCTCCAACAAACCCTGTTCGCCGTCGTGGTCGAAGGAGTCTTCGATGCCCCGTTGGCTCGGGATGGTCTACCCGTTCACAAGGATTCTGTTTAATAAGGGTGCCGTCGCCGCTCTCAGGGAGCTCGGGAGCAGAACAAAAGTCCAAAACCCCAAAATATTCAGTTAACTTTGATTATATGCCAAATAAAACAAAGAAATGCAGAGAACTCTCAGATTCGAGAAGCTGGAATCAAACCAATTATCAGAATTATTTTGTGTAACTAACTGAAGATACGACAATATCTTAATCTGCAGTGAGCAGGTGAAAAAGCTCCGAGGGTTTTCTTTTTTTCAGCAAATAAAAGCTGCCGGCTTCACAGCGAACCAGACACAATGTCCACGGTGAAAATGTCCGACTGTGAGCCGTCTCTAAGCTTCTTGAACCCCGTCTGCTTTATGACTGAAGTGGATGAGACAAAATGAAAATCGATGCAGAGATCAGAGCTTTCACCTGGAATCACCTGCTCGGTCTGTTTCATGGAGACAGTGAAGGAGAGGAGAATAAAACCCAGTGAAAGAGGCAGATAAAAGACTTCTGGGGTCGAATAAGGCTTCAAGTGAATACTGAATATTTCTATCGTACTAGTGCGGTGCCTGAAACTCTGGTTCCTGTATTTATTTATTTCATTTTAAGTTACTTTAAGTGATTCTGGTTGTCTCACCCGTGGCGTCGCTGTCCGGGTTGTACTCGAGGACGTTCTGCCAGATGAGGCCCCACCACCTCCCCTACATGGAAGCAAGACACAAGCAATTTAAAGTTGTTGAGCTGCTTTTTGTGGTTGTTTTGAGAGTCTTTGTGGTTGTTTTGAGTCTCTTTGTGGTTGTTTTGAGAGTCTTTGTGGTTGTTTTGAGAGTCCAGAGTCAGATGCTCCATGACGTAACGCAGGAAGAGGCGGAGCTCCAGCACACTAATCGCTCCATTAGGAGGCTCTTTTCTTGGAGGGCGGCGCCTCGGCCGCCTGGTTCAGAACCAGATCCTGGAATAAGTTGTCCATCAAGGAGGCCCTGGGTGAACACCTGAGGGAGCAGAGGTCGACGAGGAGTTTGTCTCTTGGTGCTCTGCGGCTCAAAGATGACGACACGCTGTTTACAGTGTTGTCTAAAAATAAAAATGTCTGCAGTCGCCTCTCATCACCACCAGGTGTCACTAAAGGATAAACTGAGCTTTGTGTCGAGCAATCTCATCGAATCTGGGAGTGTTGGAGAGTTATACTGTATATGTGACATATGAATGCAGGTCTTAACAAATGTGAAGTACGTCTCAACACACTACTGGATAGTAAATGAACAAAAGTAAGACAGGAAGTGAAGTTGTTTAAGAAAGGAATGACGTTTTATTTTGATAGATAAGTGCTCCGAGGAGTATCTTATTAAGGTAAAGCCGTGCTAGCTTTATTAGCACAATAAATACTGACACTCAAAGGTCAAAACAGCTGCAAATTAAGACTTAATATTGTAAATATTAGTTTTATTTTATTGTTTCTTCTTTACACGCAGGCTGTAAACATCTGCAGCAGAGTTAGATTTATGATTCTGTAAAGAAACAAACTGTTCAACGTCTACTGCACGACAGCAAATCAACAGATTCTATTCAACAACGATTTCATTTTGATATTTAATTTATTTCATCAGAAGCAGATAATGTGCAGGACAAATGTCCTCATAGCTCAAACATGATTTAAAGAAGAACCTCACAGACAAATAACATTCAAAGTGTCAAAAGAAAACAATAAACCAAACTAAGGTATATCTCTATATGGATTCATTCAAATTGGAAGATTTATGAGTTGGACTCATCTAAACAGCTGTAAAGATTCTTAAAAGCTTCGGTGTCTTTCAACAAACAACTCATTTAATTAAAAACGAGCAGATTTCAGGATTTACTGCCGATCTATAAAAGTGGCAAATTGATACTAAGATTGAGCAGAAATAATTATAAACAGGATAACAAAACGTAAAACCCAAAAGATGAAAACATTTGAATGCATAAAATATAATTACATTTGCTTTAAACAACATTTCATGAATAATGTTTGTGTTTAAAAAGCCCCAAAAGGAAAAGATATTTACTGGTAACCAGTGCCTACTATCTAAAATGATCTGTTTTAAGGTAAATGCTTTAAGGTTTATTAACAATATTCATCTCAAAAAAAAATTGTGAAATTCTCATGTTTCGCCACATTCAAAGGTTTTAAAATGAATTTAAGCAATTTATGATTAATTCAACAAGCTCATATAATAAAGTGTGTATAAAGATAAACACCCCGAGTACATTTATACACCAAGATCCACATGGACCGCTCAAACATTCCTCCTTTAAAACAGCCCTAGCAAACAAGTCACTGATCCGACGTTTATGGAGCGTCTGATAAGTTGCTTGTGTCTTGCTCCGATGTAGGGGAGGTGGTGGGGCCTCATCTGGCTCCTCGAGTACAACCCGTGCGTCGCTGTCCGATACCCGTGTTTGATTAATAAGCTGTATGCATCAGTGTGTGTGTGTGTGTGTGTGGAGGTGATTGGGTTCCTTCTTTTATGTGTACGGCAACTTATCAGGCCGGATTTAAACATTGACTTTCTAACTTTCTTGGATAAACTTTTCCAGAGTCATTTATTTTTAGACACAAAAAAAAAAACACGTAGAACTTGTAAGCGTGAAATATTAGTTATCTCCCGCAGCCATGCGGCCTAAAGTAACAAACAGATTTTCTAAACTTTCTCTGGATTCGTGAATTACCTGCAGGTCACACTTCTCTCATCACTTTCCTGGATCTTCAACAAGCTCACCGTCGTTTTACTATTTAAAACCAAGCAACAGAACTCTTATTTTAGTGCTGATTCGGTTGTTTTCTGAGCTGCAACGAGATGTTGACGCCGTTTGAACGTTGACATTTATAATGACATTATAATTTTAGCTTAGAAATGTTGTTGTTGCTCATTTTCAAATTGTCTCTTTGAAAGTCTACAGTAGAAGTTATCTGTTGTGCTGGTTGATTTGGTTCCAGAGAGCAGAGTCGTGATGTGAGACACTTCATGCGTTCACCTCTTTGTTGCTTTCTTCCATCAGGTTGATGTGCTCAGCTGGACGGATGAACATAAGAGATATTTTATTCATACGGTAGATATTAAAAACATAGTAGCTTGATGCAGCTTTCAGTAGGAGAGGAAAGACTCTTTTTAGATTTGATTTAAGTAACGTTTGGACTTTTTGTTCGTTATCGGTTGATACCACCTTGATATTTAAACTCATATAAATGAAACAGCGGCCCACAAGTGAGCCCAACCAGTCCCAGTGCAGGCAGTGTTCTGATCATTTAATGGTTTCAGCTCATTTAACACTTAACACACAGATACGCACCAGGGCTGTTGTCATTGTTGAGAGACGGATCTGAGCTGGAAGCAGCTTTAGCAGAGGAGGAAAGACTCTTTTTAGATACGAGTTCATTAATAAACATACATCTGGTTTGACCAAATATAACAAAAATATAATCATCATCAATCATAATGTAATAGAATCCATATCAGAGAAATAAAGCACTTACATGAGGATTGAAGTGGTTTATCTGTTAATAAAAACACACAAAAGTTAAAACACACAAAAACACAATGAAAAGGTCACTTTCTGCGAACGGTCACGTCGGCCATCTTTATATACGGTCTATGGTCCCGACACCAATCAGTCTTTAAATTAATTAGTTATCGGTCGATACAACCTGATACTTAAATTCATAATAATAATAATACATTGTATAGCGCTTTAAAAAGGTACTCAAAGACACTTTACATGGTAAAAACAGAAACAATAGAAGCAATTACAACATAAATATACATACACATACATAACTAAATGACACAAGTGAGCCCAACCAGTCCCAGTTCAGGGAGTGTTTTGATCATTTAATGGTTGAAATGGTTTCAGCTCATTTATCACTGAACACAAAGATACTCACGAGGGTTGTTGCTGTCAATAGACGGAGCTGAGCCTGCGAAGAAAAGAAAATCAATAAAAGGTCATTTAAAAAAAAGCCAGTACAGCTTATAACTGTTTTTATTTTATTCTACCAAAATGATAAAATAGAACTTAAATAGATATAAACTCTGTTATCTTAATGATATAAATGAAAGTTAAACTTTTCATTTTGATCTTTCATGAAGTTATGAACAGAATCAGCGTTGATGATTGACAGCTGATATAATATAAAGCTGCTGCTGAATAACGGTCACAGAATAACAGACTGACTGACTGATGGAGGCAGCAGTAGAGCAGCAGCTCCTGTGTCCTGAGAGGTAGAATCTCTGTTTTTATGAAGGAGCCTGGTGTCTCTGAAGCTTAAATAACAGCTTCAGATCTCCGTCATAAAGGTCTGTCAGACAGCAACGTGAAGAGGTGAAAATACTCTAAATATAGCGTACTTTTAAACTGATATAGATTCTTTGATGTGTCTAAAATACATTCACAGCAGAACATTACTAATGTAGTAAAACTCTGACGATGGAGAAGAACTTCATACAAACATTGCTACTGTCCCTTTAAGAGAATTAAAGTAGTTACCTCCTTTCTTGAGTTGACCGCAGAGATGTCCTGTAAATAAACACAACATATGAACACAGAGTGCGTAGATGAACATGGATGAAGTCTAATCTGATGAGCCCACCTTCAAACACAGCTACTTGAAGACTGACTCAAAGTTGAGGAGAATCTAAATGTCTGTGTTTGATGTTCAGAGAAACTAAAAGCATCAAATTGAATTATCTCAATGTTGAACTAAATAAATTAAACAATCTTATGGATTTAGATCAAAATGATGTGAATTTTAATTATGATGTAGAAGACAATAAAGTGACTTCAGAATGAGGCACTTGTGTTATGTACTGCTGTTCAATGTGACCTCTGAACTCCTCGAGACGTCTATAAAGTAATAACAGACCTTTGTACCTGATAATGAACTCATGCACCACATCTTAACTGCAACAAACTCAACCATCAGGATACATCCATGTTGGTATTAATGTTACTATGAAGCTTAAACCTCAACGTTAAACACAAAAGAACACTGCCGTCTTGTTGTTGGAAGAGGACAATGGTTCTTTATCGCACCTACCTGTCTTATACAAGAAGATCAGAATCCCACCAGCCAAAGCGATCAAGACCACGATCACGCCCCCTGCGGCTCCGATGACAGCTCCTCCGTTCTCTGGAGGAAGCTTGTGATCTAAAACACAGAGAACATTCATTACATTACAGTCATTTAGCTTTTATCCAAAGCGACTTACAGGAACCACATTCACACCAGTTTGTCCTTCAGTTCACTTTCAACAACATTCCCGTTCGTTAGCTTCAGTTTAATCGTCTTTCTCGTGTCTCAAAGGTTTGATGTGTTACTTTTCTGCATTATAATGTCTAAAAAACGACTAGACCTGCGTTTAAACCCTGTTAAATTGTGTAGTAACACTATCACAAATGTTCCAAAGTATTTTAAAAAACAGAGAAAGGTGTGATCAAAAAAACGGTAATGGTGGAATCACAATTTAAAAGCACATTTTTCCAAAACACTTTTTAGATGTTGGTTTTTAACTGTTTATATATATATATATATATATATATATATATATATATATTTGTCGTCGGACATTTGTCGTCGGACATCCGAACAACAAGCTAAGCTAATGTTAGCATCAACTCGGCTCCTCCGGGACGTCCTGCGTCCTTGGAAAAGCTGCTTTTATTCAGTGTTTTAATCAGACCTCTGAGGTACAAAACCTCCTGAACAACGAACACGGAAGTAATCCTAACGACTGCAATGAAGACGACAACTCCCATGATGCCACGCTGCTCCACCACAACACCAAACTACGACTGTGAAGTCATCATTTGAGGAGTGCCACCGGCAGCTTTCTGCACTAAACTAAAGTATATATACTGCCCAGAGAAACACGTGAGAAATAACAAATAAGAAACAATAAGAAAAGGTTTCTTACCCCATTCCTTCTCCACATGTACCCTGGTTGCCTCGTGTATCACTTCACAGGTGTATTTAGACGCGTCACTCCTCAGGATCTCCACGCTGTCTCTTCTCTGGAAGGTGTCGTCTCCGTTCGGCCGAATGCCCGAAGAACTCAGTCCGTCCTCCTTTGACAGAATACGGTTGATCCTCTTGATCCGCAGCACGATGTCTTTTGGGTAGAAACCCGTGGCGAGGCACGTCAGAATGATGTTTGCGTCAACGTCGGTGCTCCTCGTGAACACAAACACCTTTGGAGGAGCTGGAAGGAGGAACCAGGAAGTGTTTTTAATTTTTAATGACACCAGTATGATTTAAAAAAACAGACACAATACTAAAAATAGCAACATGAAACACCACTGCTGCCACACACACATGCTTCATTTTATAATTTTTATATAAAGCGCTGCAGGAAAGAGGCATGAAACCCAGAAAAGCTCTTCTCAAAGTCAGTGTTCTCTTCCTGTTAACACGAACTTACATTACAGTCATCTTACATTACTCTCCACTTAGCCACAGTGGCCCTTCCTGTTCACACTAACTTCCTGTTGGACTGCGACGTCCCTGCAGCTCTCTATTGGATTTGGTTGCAGGTTGGTTAAACTGTATTAATTAGGCTGAACCTAAAACTCTACAAACACAAATGAATCTGAGTTTTTTACTCTACTTGACAGTTAAACCTGAGAGTATTTGATGAGGGAATATACACAATTTAAATATGATCAAATACTATTCAACCATTAATCACAGTTTCTTGATGTAAATGTTGCCGGGAGCTGAAAAAGTCCCCTGACAAATACTACAATGAAAGAAATACTCACAGGCCGACGCCCCCTTTAGAATATCAGAGTAACTATTTTTGTCAGTCGTATGAAGCTAGTTCGTGTCGTACATACTGGCTTCATGTGCTGCTGTCTGCTCCTGATTCTGATACGTCATGAACTTCCCCATCCAGTCCATGCACTCGTTCTCCAGGTATCCTTTGGTGTATTCCTTCAGCACGTGGACCCTGTCCCACTCCCTCTTGGTCTGCTGCGCCTCGACGGCCGCGGCGACCCAGACGCCGTTGTCGTTGTCGAAGGACAGGAAGTCGTTGCCGTCGTAGCTGTACATGTCGACGCCGTGGGTGAACTTGATCTTACCGTCGGGCTGCATGTCGCCTTCACAGCCGTGCATCCACTGGAGGACGTGGTTGTAAGGCACTAGAGAGAGAGAGAGAGAGACAGAGAGGCAGAGCGAGAAAGAGAGAGAGAGAGAGAGAGAGAGACAGAGAGGCAGAGCGAGAAAGAGAGAGAGAGAGA